CTTTAAAGAAACAATTTAGGTAAAAGTTTAAGAGAAGGAAAAATAAAATTAAATACGTCAAAAAGCTTTGTTAATCTCTTTTTGTTTGTTTAAGCTTAATCTAAACAATATCATCAACATAAATTGTATCTTTAGCTCGACAAGCTATTTGTTTTTAAAAACAACCTAATTCGAAACTGTGACTTACGAAACATAGCATCTGAATACCTTGTTGGTAAAAGGGCTTTTTATAATGATGTTTTTAGCGGCATCTTAGTCGAAAAATGTTTTTCGATGTATTAACGATAATAAACAAATTGCGGATGGCCAAAAGGAACCTTACAATCATCCTATGGTGCGATTCCCTGCATCAGCGCTTTTTGCTTTTGCTTTTATAAACATGACATCACAAGCTTGTTGTTATTATAGATTTCGGGGGTTTGGTATCCATAACATTCTTTCCAAATTCATAGCTCAATTCAATTGCACTTTTACACCTCTTGATGATTTACAATGTCTCTTTATAATGCAAAATACCTTCAAATACCTCTTTAACAGCTAAATATTGTCAAAGAAAACAGCTCCTCTTCCATGAGTTTTCCTCCGCCCCTGCCTAAACTAGCTGGTATAGTAAAAGCAATTTCTGTAAAAAGATAATTGCACAAATGAGTCGCTTTTTCCACAATATTATACCTGATATTTTGTATCGTAATGTTCTCTGTTGTTAGCTTCCCAAGACAGTTTTAGGACACTGAAAAGGTATGCTTATCGAGTAGTGTCCTGGTCCTTCCGCTCTATGTGACCTCACCTCTGGGGCAGTGGTGTCGTGACCGGGGGGCAGGGGGGCGTGGCCCCTCTGCTTTAAAAATTTGACGGATTTTCAGAATAATAATTGATTTTTCGGAAAACTCTCAAATTTCAGCTGTGGTCAATTCTCAAACTTTTAGCAACATAAACGACTTGGACTAAAGTAAAAGTACTTGTCATAATTTCAAGGGGCGATTCATTTTTGTAAAGTAAATTCTAGATTTCCACAAATCAAAATGATTTCTCGGGATTTACCGATTTCTACCATCGAGTGATTTGCTGCTCGGATTTCGTCAGCTAAAATCGTAATTTTAAAAGGTCAAATTTGGTTAAGGAAATTGGTCAATATTGGTCATAAATTAAGTCTTAATTTGATATTGAAGACCGGTACAGTACCAATTTTGTGCCTATCACTAGATTTCTGAAAATTGTGTCCCAGATTTGAAAATTTATGCAGTTATGTTGCGTAAGGTAAAACAAGGAAGAAGTCGATCAAAACCATTGATTTCCCCCAGTGGAAATTCAATTTAAGAATAAGATTGTATTATTAAAATTTGCTTCAATGAATGCAATTTCCGGCGAATTCGAAGCATTAGATTATAAAAAATTTCTCCCTTCAGCGGCAACCATGGGCCCGCCTCATTCTATCCTTGTCCTTTTTCTCACTGTAAGTATGAAAAAACAAAGACAAAGATAAAAGTGCATTTTAAATTTCTTTCCAGCTAAGGCAAGAGTTTTGAGTTTTTCCGCCCCACCCCCCTTTAAACTTACATGAAATGCTTCTAGTTGATTAAAAATAAACCAAAGAAATTTTGTCGAAAGTATTTTTTTTCTAGCCCCCTCTAGAATTCATTCGCCAAGACGCCTCTGCTCTGGGGAAACATCTTCTCGTGCATTGAGGTGATACCTCTTTCTGGCCGCATTCGATTCCTACCAACCAGAACTGGATAAATTTAGGATTCGGTTTACATTCTTATCTAGAGCTTGAATGATAATAACAAGAGAATTGTTTGAAAAGTGGAGAACTGCCATAAATAAAGAAGGATACCATATTCAAACACAAATAACCAGAAGCAGATTTTCAAGGGCATCAAAGAACCAGGAACAGAAATTCTTTGTGCATCAAATGTAATCGAAACACTCGAGCAATACACACTAGTGCATACATACATGTACAAATATGAATGGGCTTGCCAGTGCCTGAGAGGTTTCGTGTTCTGCTTATTTAGCTAAGAATAGATTGTTGAGGCACGAGCGAATGCCGTGGGAAAGTCATTAAAAGCAAAGTAAACTTAAAAAAACATTTGTTACAATCGCTTTTTACTTTATGGTCAGATGGACATTGAATTTTTTGCTTACTGGCTGCAGGTTCTTCTCTTGACGGCTTTTATCAGCAACAAAAGTGCTTTATTAGGACATTTTACGGCATTGTAAGAAAATTATCTCCATTATCAATCACACTTGAGTGGTTCATTACGGAGTTTTAAAAGGTTTCGTGAAGTGACAAAAACGGTGTCTTGAAGAAATATTTCAGAGATTCCTTTCAGATTAAGATTTTTGGATCAATAAGTATCTCAAAATGTATTGTAGTAAGTTGTAACTTAATTGTGAACAAAAAAGGAGCAAGAAAGTTTCCTTGAGAACAAGTAGATAATGAAACACAGTGTGTAATTATATAAATTTGTTCTTGAATTGACGTTTTCTTCAAAATCCTGTCTTCTTAAGGCCATTTTGTCTTGAAGGTACTAAGCAAGCATAAATCGAAAGAATTTGTCTAATCTTCTAAAGCAATTGCCACTCCAACGTTTCGAAATCCTAGAGAGACCAATAGTTGAATGTCAATATACAGTTTGCTGCAGTCCAGCAAGTTCAACAGCTTTTTGCAGATTCAATCAATAAGAAAACCTGGCAAATGGCCTATACACATCCTTGAACCCTGCACTGGATGATTTATTTTTGCATGGAAAGTCATGCGTAGTAAACCTTACTTTAAGTGACATAATTTGCCTAAAACTGTGGCAGAAATAAATGCCATGTATTTCATAATGTAGATCTCTGGAACATGTGCTTTAAAACAATACGTAATTCCCAGTATTTAATATTTGATCAATTTAATGAATGGGATTTTGAGGGATTTCCTGTGCTGGCATGCACACACGTACTTAATCCTATTAAAATACTTTAATTATATCTTAAACTGTTTGAATAAATCTGCGAAAAATTTGCACACCGGTAAAAATCGCAAAATGACAATGTCATAGACAGCCAATTGTGTACCATGGTGATTCATTTGACTCCTTATCATAGTTGTCACTGCAGAGCAGGTGTGTATTAAAGCCTGTAGTCCTGTAATCCTTTTTTCCGAAAATGCATAAACGTTATATGTGATTTATGAAGGAAAATTATTTAGTATGAATGACATATCTCTGTACTGCTCGAATTCCTTTGAGAAATAGAACCACGCTCTCGAGAAAACAGTTTATTGAACCACGTTTTTGAAAGACAAAGGTCATAAAGTACCGATCAATCCCCCTCTCTGTTGCTTTCTAAGTGTATCGTTTAGTCACTCAAGCTAGCATCTATTAAGAATGAGCTTTTAGAATTTACTCCTTTTTTAAATGAAATTTTAAAGGGGGTTCACAACATTGTTATAAATTTCATCTTACAGTAGTTCAGTCTCCGCTTGTTCTTAATTGGTTCTTAATCTGTTGTTAATCTTTCAACCAATTTGGGGAATTGTGTTCTAAGAATATTGTTGTTATAAAGAAAGAAGTGCTGTGCAAACAAGTGTGCTTCTTAAACAAGTAAGCGCCTCCGTGAATAAGTGTTCTACTCTAAAGTTGCAATTTCAAACTACTTAGGTGATTGTCAAAGAAAATACCACATAGAATATCATACTTTCTAGCTAGCTATTGAATTCAATAGCCGAGATGACATATATCCTTGCTTGAGAAGAATTAAAATATCCAACAAGATCTTTAGCTTAAACTGTTTAAATGGTCGACAAACATGGGAGGGACTTAGCCATCCTATGGAAAGTACCTTACATCATGTACAAACACTGGTAATATGGCTCCTAATTTTAGGTTAGCCTAGTTTGATGCTATTTCTAGATGCCAAATACAATTGTTTGTGGTAAGCTTTACTCTACATTAACACATAAGTTTCGCTTCTTGCGACTTTTATCCAGGTTCTCCAAGTGAGGCAGCACTTCCTGCACCCATTTGCTCTATGCTTATTAACTCAAACAAGAAGATATATCAAATAGATGATATCACATTAAAGGTCAAATAGGATTAAAAAGGGTTTAACATTGTTGAAATGTTAAATAGAAGTGAATCTACGTACTTCTTTCATATGAAATCAGGATTAATTATCAGTACTTCATGGCAAACTTTCTTTCCTCAAATGGATGCCACGTGTGAAACTAGCACGTGACATATAGCATGCGTTTCAATGAATGAAAAATTTCTAAAATTTAATAACAAGATAAGAAAATTCAATGAATGACTACATCACAATATATAATGGATATTTTATTCAACCATATTGGAGCACAGAACAAATTTTTGAATCCTGTTTTTTTTAAATCAGCCTGATTACAAAATTTCTAATTTGGTTAAGGTTTTCTTATGATTTACATCATCACAAGTCAGCAACAAGCTGAAGAAGATTTCTTCTTCTTTTTCAAGTCTTAAAAGTCTTTCTCTGCTTCAAATCTTTGAAAGTTTACTTTCATATACTCTTGATTTTAAATTATGTTTTGTGCTTACGTCATTTGGTATTTTCACGCTACTTTTGAGAATGGATTCTTCAAACGCTTTATTCATTATTTGATCTTTCACTATAAGGGACTTTTTACCGTGCCCTTTTTTCTTTTAACTTGATATTTTCTTTGTATGATTACATCTTTTACTTTCTTTTCACTTTTCATTTTGTAGTTGTCGTCTCATAATCATAGGTGACAACAACAAATTCATTTGCTTCTATGATTTTATCCTTATAATAACGATTCCATCTATTATGACTTTCATATAGCTTCACGGCATTGAGAAATACCTAAACTAGCAAAGAAATCAATTTATATGCATGTATGTGTGAATCCAATAATTGCATTAAGCGTTGCCTAAAATTGTCAAAGCTTATAGATGTATATGTAAAGATTTATTCATGTATTTATATCTATTCGTAATAATTTCCTTATCTTTCCCAAGGCTGCCTAGATACTTGAAGTGGCTACCTTTATAATGACAAGTGGGAACGTTCAAAACGAAGACGCAACTGTCTAAGACACAATCAAATTCAGAAGCCATTTGCTCAAAAGGTATTTTCACAATTTATGTCATTCTAGCTGAATTAAAAAAAACTTTCCCCCAAATCCAAAGTCCAGAAACGTTTAACCTCTTCCTCCAGACAAGTTCTTCCAGCTTCCTAAAGAGTTTCCTTCCAAAAACAAAGAAAACAAGGCGCAGTTTGGGCGTGGCACTTTCATTTTCTGTGTTCTCTCCCACCGTCTACACTGTGATAGACAATGTAACCATCATGTTCCCTGGCTCTGCTTCAATTACATCTAAAATCTCCTTCGAAATTATTTCCTTATTAATCTTAACCAAAATCTTTACCTTTGGCTTAACCAAAAGCTGAAATGATTTTTTCACTAAGCTACTTCTATTCAGCTCTCAACGTTTTTACTATCTATTTCGTAATTTATTCTCAACAAATTCGACTAGAGTCAATGTTGAGTTTTATATAAAATGCTTTCTTTGGTAATTATAAAGTTTTATAAACGTATATATAATATTTAGACTCAAAGCTATAATTAATGCCTCAAATTAGACACTTAAAATCAATTAGTGGAATAGAGCACCTTGCTGTAAATAAACCATAAAATGGGCCTTGTATTTAGCTGGGTCCTACAATAAGGATGAATCTGATCCAATTAGTGGAGCTGTAGAAGTAGCCAATCAATTTCCTTTATGCGGCTAAACTAATTGCTCCTCGAATCCATCTTGATGGTAATCGTTTGTTAGCAATTGACTATGTTTTAAACTTATCAAAACTTTAGAACTTTGCTTGTTTTTTTTAAAAGTGTTTTAATTTAGTCACTACTTTCAAATTTCAAGCTACACTATCACGAGGTTGACTAAAAAGAGCCACTACTTCATGTATCTGTCTAAAACATCCTTGATTTTCATTTTATGACTTTACAGGTTGACACAGACATTAAACAATCATAGAACCTGCAGCCTATATTTCTTTGGTTATGCGACTTATTTTTAACATTCTATTTTTGTTTAAAATGTCTCCATAAGGGTTTTATCTTACAGGGCATTGTCCCCCGAACCATCTTTCACCATGAGACACCTTTACTACAGAACATGACTACAAAGGCTTATCGTTTTCATATGTCTTTTCAAACATGGTCCTAATGGGGAAAAAAATCAAGTAAAACTCTTCAAAGATATTCTTAGACAGAAACATTTTAAGGATCAACGACATTTTCACTTGAAAAGCCCAGCTAGTAAAATCACTCTAGGCAAATTATGAGTAAAAAATTGCCTATTACTTGTCAAAAGTCCGCAGTGGGTTTTCTTATAAAAAGGTTGGTTTATTGCTGACTTTCAGTCGACAGTGAACGAGTAAAGCTGATAGCAGCATAATTAGCTGACAAAGAAACATTATGTATGAGTATCTTTCCATTGAAATCCGAGGCACTGAAAATTCGATGTCCTTCTTAGTGGTTTTTCATTTGTTTCTGATCTTCCTGACCTGGAAGTAAGTCAATAGTCTTATCTAGATCAGTACAATGATTTAGTGATATCAAAGACCTACACTTCTGAATTGATTAAAAAAGCAAGCTATATATTCGATCGAGAATAACCCGATTACCTTTCTAAGTTTGAATTAAACGCAAAGATTCTTTGTTTAGGTTTTTTAAATTTAAGAGATCGAAGTTTACAGATGAGGAGAATCCAAATAATCGACTTATTGTAAAAAGCTATATTTTTTCAAACTAAACTTTTTCTGAATGAGCAAACAATGTCTCTATAATTCCAAACATTGGAATCTCTCTGTAATTCAAAGAATTGGAATCTCTCTGTAATTCCAAGCAATCTAGAGGAAGGTTCAGGACACTGCTTGACTAGCCTTGGTTCTCTGTCTCCTGAAACTATCGAATTGATACATAAATATTTTTAGCAGTTAGAAAGGGCATATTCAGGAATAAAACCTTTAAAGTGTGCAATTATTTGCAAGTTCTTATGGTTTGGAATAACTGCGTGAAACACAACTGCGTTATTTCAACTAAAATCTCTAAAAGATAGAAATTTATAATTAGCTAAATGTTAATGTTTCCTTTATGCATCTCTTTTAATTTGAAGTAGCCATTCTTCAAGAAACCCTTTTTTCATTGTGATATAATAGGATATTGCATAGCACACATGGTATGGTATGGTATGGTATGGTATGGTATGGTATGGTATGGTATGGTATGGTATGGTATGGTATGGTATGGTATGGTATGGTATGGTATGGTATGGTATGGTTATGGTATGGTATGGTATGTATGGTATGGTATTGTATGTATATGGTTTATGCGTATGGTGGTATGGTATGGTATGGTATGGTATGGTATGTATGGTATGGTATGGTATGGTATGGTATGGTATGGTATGGTATGGTATGGTATGGTATGGTATGGTATGGTATGGTATGGTATGGTATGGTATGGTATGGTATGGTATGGTATGGTATGGTATGGTATGGTATGGTATGGTATGCTATGGTACTTTTTCTTTAAATAAATATTCAGTTGGAGCAAATTAGCTTCATCATTTATTATTACCTCCATTGCTTGTTTCGTTCATTGCTTATTTTTCCTTGGATAGATCGTAATCCCTTTGAATGATTGCAAGGTAGATGATAATTAGTTTTCAGCCACCCATAGAGTTCAAAGTAAGTCCAGAAGATCGATAGTCAGCAGGAAGGTTGAACAGATGCTCTCCAAAGCAACAGATGCTTGATAATGTGTCAGTCTAATGGACTTAAAGATTTGAATACAAACATACTACCTACTTCAACACAATCTGTTGCAAATACGACGTACGCATATGTCTGCTTTTTCTCTAAAACATTGATTCCCGAGAAATATTGAATATAAATGAAAGTCAAATAACTAATTACGATATGATTGATATAAAAAGTGTTCATTTGCAGTACAACAGTTACCAAGGCTCGTGTTCCTGAACTGACTGTTTTCGTAAATGTTCAAGAAGCTTTGATTACACTAAAAACAAGGGTCTATCCAGTCCTCTTGAGATCTCCCGAAAAGTAAGTTATTCACGGAACAGGCTTGTAGAGATAAAACTTGTAGATTGATTGTCTTCAAATCCGAAAATAGATTAAGCTCTACGTGCAAACTTATTGAGCATTGTACCCCGAAAAAATCCACGGACATACCCTTTTGTTTATATCTGTATTTTTATTCATGTATATTTATATCTATACCTATATATTTATGAATATATTTATTTTTAAATAATTTTATTTAAATTTAGATGCATAAATGAAAACCAACATATTTAAGCAACCTTTTCAAACAGAATCATCTAAAGTTTCATAACGTGTGTGAATGAAAAGCATGAACTGTCAATTTATAACATGAAAGGGTGGCAATTCTAAAAAACTGCATAAGATGATTCATAATGATGTCAAAATGTAGGAAATAACTAACTAAACATTAGCTGAATACAAATAGCATTAATATTAAGACTCATAAACATAAATGCGAGTTGGAACTTTTCGTGACTTTTCACAGAATGGGGTAATATGCAAATCAGAATTTCGTCTGCTAGCTACTGCAGCAAAATTGCCTTTGCTCGAAGGCTACCTATTAGGCCACGCTCAACTAACATTTCTGTCTTTTTAGAAAGCTAGCTGTCTTTTTAGAAAAATTAATTTCTTTGCAAATCTACTTTCTACAGCAATTCTAAAGAGATATCCAAAGAGTCTGGATCTTTGTAGCTATTAAGAATTCTAGCATAATGAACAGAAGGGAACATTAAGCTTGATAGTGTCAATTTAGATTGATAACCTATCGGTTTATAGCTTCCTGCCTTAAGTGAAAGCTACTTTCTCATTAGGTTATGGCCATTTTATAAGATTTGAAATCCTGATAAAAGGCTTATGGTCCTGAACAGACACTTGTGGCCCATCAATCAAATAAAGGCAGAATTGACATTGCAAAATGATAAAGGAGTTTAATGGCGTCGCTTAATTCTTGCAATTTGATAAGAAAATTCTTGGATAACTTCTTCGTTGTTGTTTGTTCTATGTTTTTTTTAATTTTTATGGCGGTTAAGCTTGTTGGATATGATGCTATTAGATACGATTTAATGGGATATATTGGTTACTATAAAAATATAGCTCTTTTTTACGCTTATCTAAGCTTATCAAAATTGTTCCTAACATGGGCAAGTTAAAGATAATATTTAAACCAACTATTTTGAAATGAGAGGAATTTTCAGTAAAGTTAAGTTTCGATTCCTTTAGGCTGCTAATTTTTTATATTGGTTGCTTCTCCAAACGAGGGTTTTATTGTTTATCTATTTTTATGCTCTATTACATAAAATTGCTTTAAGTTTTTGTTTTAGTTGCTAAAAACAGCAACGTTCCTAAAAAGTCTCCTTGCAGCGCACAACTTATTATTATTATTATTATTACAACAACAAAATTTCTGGTATGGCGCGAATCTATTGACAATTTCCTTTGGTTGATTACTGTTGTAAGACGCAGCCCTTTATGTAGTTAGCTGCTGCTTTGAATAGATATTGATACGAAAATTTAATGTTATTTTAAAGAAAAGGGTATCTGTGCAACGGTTGCAGCCGAAATGATGGCTCACCTGAAAAGACCATAAGTGAAGATGAACTCTGATTTGGCAAAGGTTCCCTACTGTTCTGAAAGAAGCTTTCTTTCACCCAAAACTTGTTTATGACCGAAGTATATTTTCTTTCTAAGGAACTTTTGAAATGTTATTTAGCACAACTCAATTCAACAAAAATGAAATGATAACAAAAATGATAAGAACATAGATATTCTTTGAAATAGGCTAAATATTAACACACCCGTCTTGGTATGGTTAAAGAAACTTACATTGATGTGAGTAGCTAGACACGTCGTAGGAAGAAGCTGTTGTGTTATGTCATACTATCACGTAGAGTAACAAGTCCTAACAAGAGGTTGCGATTTATAATATCTTTCAAAGGCCTCTATCTTATGATAAAACGTGATTTGCATTTCAGTTTTTTAATGCAAGCAATAACG